ACAAAGGTCAAATGCTTAGCTGAGCTAGGCTACACTGCTAACACACAGACAGACAACATGAAAGCATTTGTTTGTTTGTTGTCACGGCAACAGCAGCCATCAGTGACACCAGCACACAAAAGCAACACAACAGCAGGTTCAAACACTCAAAGAGCTGCGTTACATTTGAATGTGTGACTGGTTGCTGAGCTGTTTGATGCTCAAAGCTGCTTTCAGAGAAAGTGAAGCTGTGATCAGTGTCAGTGTGTTACTTTATTACAAAACACTAAAATGTTACTTTGTGTCTCTGAGGGTTTCCGTCACATGTGAGTGTGTTCTCACAGCAGATCACTGAGTCGGCCTCAGATCTTCTTGAATCTGTAAAAACTGGAATCACAGGCTGTAGAATCACAGAGCAGCTGACTGGTGTCCTCTAAAAGTGTCACCTACAACATTCAGTTAAAGAGGAAAAACTCTGATCTGTGCTGACATCACTTCCTGGTTCAGACTGAAGGAGAGGATGAGGAGTTCACTCTAACACCATAACACTGAGATGGTGTCACATGTTCATATGATGCACACAGCAGTGGGACAGCACTTTGTAACATGTGATGTGACTTTGATAAAGATGAAACATTCTTATTATTATTGTGACTTTGAGACATTGATGTCACATGTTTTACTCTCTCCACACTCAAAGACCTTCAGAGTGTCTGATTTAAACATCTTCAGGCTCTGACCTCAGAGGAGGGACCAGAAGGAAACTGTCAGATCATCAGTGTGATGACAAAATTCAACCTTCTACATAACTTGGAAAACTTACTGTTAGGGATCACAAACCAAGGGAGACATATATGTACCAGGTTATTAGGGAAATGGGAAACACCTTAAAACATCTTAAAAGAATCATATTAATGAGAAAATGTTCTGGGTTCAGAGTTCTGGGTGTTGTCAGTGTTTAAAATCCTGCAGAAACAGATGAACTAAGCAGAGACCCACAGCACTGTATGTTTATTTCATTTTAATATTTAATGGCTGCTTCTGTTTTTGCTGCATAACTAAAACTGAGTGTCATTTGATTTCATTCATAATGTGATCATCAGCAGAATTCACACAGTGATCTTTATTAAATCACAAACTGACCAAAACTGTAAGTGAAACATTTCAGTGTGTCTCTGTAATCGCACACAATCAAATGTGTTTACAGAGATTTAATGAAGTGTGTGTGTGTGTGACATGTAAACTTGAATGGTTCAGCATCTCTCCAGCCTGCCTGGGAGGAACTTATTGGGCTCTCACTTTTCGCACCTGAGCTGATTGGTTCCCATTTTCCCTTGCCACCCTGGGTGAATGGGATGCCAGATGAGGACAGGTCAAACTAAACAAAACAAAGCAAAAAATAAATAAATAAAAAAAATCACCAATGCATACATGCAGCTCACCTTCACACACTATAGTGCAGCTAGACCCAAGTCCCACCACCAAGGCACCCCAGTCACCTCCACTTTTGGCCTTCTGCATTTGACTAAAAGAAACAAAAGTTATAATGTATTCCAACAAAAATGTAATATATACCCTCTGCCCAACTGCAGAAATACGCTGGCGATCAGCAGCTAGAACAAAAACAAAGTTTTACAAATCCAAAACATTCAGAAACCAAATATACAAACAAAACAAATTAAACCTTTAATGTAGAGCAGATGGCGTCACAGTGTCACGCTAAATCGCCACATCCGACTGCTCTAATTAGATGATTCGATCAATTAACATGCACATGAACAGGCTCCCGTATCTGGCATGTACAGCTCACCTGTTTTTTAAAATGTCCCCTTCTAATAAGATGGCAAAAGGCAAGAAACAAAAAAGAAATCCAAAAGGAAAGGCAAAGCAGCAGCACGTCTGTAAATGCAGCCTGGAGAAGCAGTAGAGGTCCCACTGTAAGGCTATCGGCTGCCCACTGAGGCCCACAATTCCTGCAATGCATCATACATATTTGCAGCAAAAGACAATAAAAGGCTGAGATTGTGACGAATGAGAGTTACGTACCGATCAAAGGACGTTGCTCAATTTATTAACAAAGTTACCCATAGCAAACGCCTTCAACTACAAACACACTTGTTTACCAACAAGTAAAATAATAGACATAAACACTTACCAGCAGCGATGGAGGCTTCAGCAAAATAATCAGCAGGTGATCTCTGTAACATGAGTAACACCAATCAACCAAAGTGTAGCCAATTCAGGCCGAGGCAGCAGCAACAAGTGTGCAACTCCTACCCGAATTAGAACAGGCATCTTGGAAAACGTTGGAGCACTTTTGCAAATATGTGATATCTTGATAAATCGAGTAGATATTTGAAGTTTACACAGCTACTTTCTTGCCTGAAATTATGTTAAAAGTTTATTTTGTGATTCAGAAAGAGTAATATTTTAAATCTGCGTCATTCCGAAACTGCCTCGTTCAAGTTTTCGATGAAATGCATTCTGGGATATTTGCCTGGGTTAGCCTACAGTAGCTAGCGAACTGATTGGAGACCAAAACAGCCAATCAGAATTTTTGCATCCAAGTCTGTGATTGGTTGGTTTTGTGGCACACTTATAACGGTGTACAGAGAGTTGAGCGCGCACGAAGCGGAGATGTTGTGAGCACAAACAACACACTGAGAGCAGGTCCGCAGATGTCTGTGAGCACACAGAGCAGAGATCTGAGCAAGAGCAAATGCCAACAACTGAGTGAGAGGGGCTGTTATTGTGTGTGTATATATAGATAATCGCAAACACTGAAATACATACTTGCACGCAGAAATGAATTTTGTTTGTTCGCATTAAACTTTTGCTCGCTTAAAATAATTTTCTCCTCAACACGCTACATTTGCACTTTCACAATTTTTTTTATGTGCGCTCAGAATAGAGGCACTAAAATAACACCATATCTGTGACATAATGTTGCCCAGAAACAACAAAACACATTTGACTTAACAAGACACCTGACTGTTCAGTGAAACGAGGAGTAAAAGAGGGTTTGGCCCGTGACCTGGTAAAAAGACGAATGGTCCACTGATCCAGCATCTGCTAAGACTAATGTAATTTTATACATGTTAAAAATGAAATAAAAGTATGTACATTTACTTGAATATGTGAAAAGTCAATTTGATCTAAATCTAAATCTTGTTGACATATTTCTGTCTCTGCTGCTGACTCACCTGAACAAACACCTGAACAAACACTGAAGAAATCAATGGAGTTTTTACATTTGAGGTTATTTTAAAGAAACTGATCAAAGTCACTGCTGATTAATAATTTATGCATTTAGTTTCATAGTTTCTGATAAAACATTGTTTATGAGCTCTTCACATGTTTAGTTTGTGAAAATAAAGTTTGTAAAGTCACTAAAGTGTAAAACAGAATAACACATTAAGGCTGAACCATGTGTTTCCATGGTAACAGTTCACTGGCATCTGAGTACGGCATCTCTGACATCACAGATTCTTCTTCTCTGATTGTTTCTGCTTTGTTTCTTTGATAAAGTTAGACTAAACAACAAGCTTTGCTGATTTAAAAACAGACAGGTTTGAGTTTGAGTCTATTAAAATATTTAAGATGTTATTTAAACTATGAAGAATATTTGATATGTTTTATCAAATTTTAGAACAACAGTTTTTTGTGAATCTGATTCCTGCCATCAAATAAATGGAAATTAAAACATCCAAAGCACAAGTGAACATCTCAGTCTATCGATCAGTGTGTTCACAAATGTTACACACTGCATGCTGTAATCAAAACAGTAACATTCATGTATTACTGTTGTTTGCAGCTCGACATGTCGAGCTGCAAACAACAACAACATCATAGTTGTGGAGTTGAGCAGAGGTGACCTGGGGTCAGAAGATATGCTTTTGTACCGGGACGGTCACTTTGTTCCAGACAACCAGCATCCATCTTTTAAGAACCGGGTGGATCTGCAGGACAGACAGATGAAGGATGGAGACGTGTCTTTGATTCTGAAGGATGTGACGATTAATGACACTGGAACATACGATTGTGGTGTCGTCCAGCGAGTGAGAGGACCTGTGACTCTGATCAAGAGCACCAACCTGAGTGTTGTTGGTCCTCCAGGTGAGTGAGTAGAGTTGAGTGTGTGTGTGATCAGAGGTGAAGCTGCTTCCTGGTTGTTGATGTTTGTTTCTAAAGATGTTGTTGATGAGACTTTGTAGGAAGCAGCATCTTCAGCTTCTACAGTGAATGTGAGTCAGATGAACAAACACAAAGAAAGATAAATAAATGATGGTGAACATTCAGCAGACGCTGTAGAAAGCTGGATGTTCAGAGTCTGATGTTATTTCTCTGATGATCATCATGTTCAGACTCAGACCAACAGTGTGTGTCTGTGCTGTCTGTCAGTGACTCTGAACTAGGGATGGCACGATACCACTTTTTTATGTCCGATACCGATATCATAAATTTGGATATCTGCCGATACCGATATAAATCCGATATATCTATTTTTTAAACTGTTTTTGTATAAGTTCAAAGTCAAATTTAAAAAGACAGAAACACTAAAGCTATTCTCTTATACTTGCATGCAAGAAAAAGACTGCACCCAAAATATTGCTCACTTCAACAATGCATATCTCTTTATTTAAACTTTAGCACTGTTTAGCTGTCACCACTATCAAAATATCCATCCTGAAAGTGCGCAACATAATGCAGAACTTTAAATGTCGAAGTATTTAAAGTAACATTCATCAAAATGGATTGGATTTATAAGCGCTTTACAATACCACTATTCATTCACTCTCACATTCACACACTGGTGGAGGCAGCTACAGTTGTAGCCACAGCTGCCCTGGGGCAGACTGACAGAAGCAAGGCTGCCATATCGCGCCATCGGCCCCTCTGGCCAACACCAGTAGGCAGTAGGGTAAAGTGTCTTGCCCAAGGACACAACGACCAGGACAGAGAGCCCGGGGATCGAACCGGCGACCTTCCGGTTACAGATGCGATTCCCAACCCCCTGAGCCACGGTCCACCCTTAAAGTAACATTCATCAAAATAAAAGTGCAACATTATGCAGAACTTTAAATGTCAAGTATTTAAAGTAACATTAATCAAAATAAAAGTGCAACATTATGCAGAATTTTAAATCTTGAAGTATTTAAAGTAAAATTCAAGTAAATAAAAGTGCAACTTTATGCAAATTTCAAAACCCCTTTGGTACTGAAAAAAGGTGCAATTTTAGCAGAGCAAACAACATTCTTGTAATAATGCAGTTGTAACTTTTTTTTTTCACTTTAACATGAGAGGTAGGTTCTTCTTCAGAAAGATCAACATTTCAACCTTCTCAGCTGTCAGCCTGCTTCTCCTTTCATTAATGATAATGGAGGCTGTACTGAAGAGTCTCTCACTCTCAATACTTGTGGTAGGTGCACAGAGAAATTTAGCTGCTGTAGAAACCAGAGTGGGAAATCTAAGTTTGTTGGCTTGCCAGTACAGCAGTGGATTATCTGAGCGTTGAATGGTTGGCTCACTAAGGTAAGTTTGCACTTCAATACGTGCACTTGTCGTGGCTAACTGAGGAACAGGATCTTGAGTGTTTTCCTTCAGGATTTCATCAAAAACACTTTCAAGTCTGCTTTGGCTGGAAGATTCCACCCGTGGAGTCTTCTTTGCTGGCTCCAAGACTGCTGATGTCCCCTCTGCTGGCTCTGAGGAGTTTAATGTAGTTCTCAAAAACTCCATCTTCCTCACCTCTGCCATCAAAGCATCCTTAGCTTGTTTTGAGGTTTCTACACTCGTGAAGTACCTGAAATGAAAAAAGTCCAAACTTGAATATTAAACAATCATTAAATTTATCATTAGTATCATTCAGCAGTGTGATTAAACTATCATTCCTCATTCTTGCTATTTATTCCATGCCCATTATAAAGACCTCAACATACTTTGCTGTACTACTCTGAATCAGACAATACATGTTATAATGCGCAATGGTGGTGTCCTGACTGAATGACAAGTCTATCACAACTAATCTAGAATGTCCTCACCATTTTCTGACACACTCTCTCTAATGCACTATCACTTACACACACACACACACACACACACACACACACACCACACACACACACACACACACACACACAAAACAAGTTGATCTGTTAAAATAACATGAGTGAAGCCTTACATACCTGTCTTTATATCTTGGATCCAGCAGTGTTGCAACTGTGTATAGTGGCTCGGATTCCACGTCTCTGAAGCGTCTGTTAACCGCTTCGAGAAGAGTGCCTTTCATTTTCTTTATTCCATCGTCGGCCTCATTTTCTCGGGAGAGCACGCGCTTAAGGACGCAGACAATAGGGATGACATCAGATGCAGATGAGGATGATGCGCTTACCTCCTTTGTTAACTCCTCAAAGGGAGCTAGAGCTGTCAGGACCTTTTCCAGTAACCCCCACTGCTGTGCACTAAGTGTGGCAGGCAGATCATACTCTGCAGAATATGCACACAAGGCTCGCTTCTGTTCTGTGAGGGTCTTGATCATATAATATGTTTGGGTGACATGTTCAGCTCCATTTGAATGTCCTCCAAATGCGAATATGCCTGTGGTGAGTGTTTGAAGTGACCCACTATTTTTCTGCCCACTGTCACAGCATCACATACACCACGTTGTGCAAGCAGTCCCTCATTCACCACAAGTTGCAAAGTGTGCGCGAAGCATCCCAAACTTGCAACACCTAGCCGGTCCATTGCCTTTTTTATATTGCTGGCATTGTCTCGCAAAACAACGTGGACTTTATTCTTCGGAATTTTCCACGCATTTAACATTTCCTCCATAGCTGCAGCGATGGACTCTCCTGTGTGTGAACCACGAAACTCTTTGGCCTGCAACACTGCTTTTTGCATTGTAAAACTCGAGTCTATCCAGTGTACAGTCAGGCTTAGCAGGGACAACGGACAAACGTCCGAGCTCCAGATATCAGTCGTCATGCTTAACGTGGGAATTATTTCCAAACTTTCGGAGATGAACTTGCGCACCTGTTTGTACTTGCCTGGGATAGCTTCCTCCGAGATGAAATGCCGGTTTGGCAGCATGTAGCGAGGCTCTAAATGCTCAATTAAGCGTCGAAAACCATCATTTTCCACAACGGAAAGGGGCTGGTCATCAAGCACAACAAATTCAACTATTTTCTCCGTTATCAGCTTCGCTCTATTGCTTTCCGGAGGGAATTTCTCACGTCTCTGAATATTTTCCAAAAGCGTTTGTTGATATGGTACACTTTTCTGCTTAGCTTTGGAGGCCAGGCTAAATTCCGCGTACTCCTTTGCGTGGTGTTTCTGTAAGTGTTTAATCATGTTTGTGGTGTTAAAATTCCCCACACTGCTACCACCTCGCGAAACACTTGCATCGCATAAGTTGCATTCGGCAGTCTTGCTTTTTTCGTCTTTTAGTTTGAAATAAGTCCACACTGCTGACATGATGGCTCTGAGCTCTCCCACACGATAACCGCTCGATCACGTGACGCATACTGCTCTGACGTGCTAAGGTCATGACCTGGGTTATACCATGTTAGCGAGTTTTTGAGGTGCTTTTGTGATATTCACTGGATCGGATAAAATTTTAAATTTCTCTCCGATATCCGATCCAGTAATTTACGTCAATATCGGACCGATACCGATACTGAATATCGGATCGGTCCATCTCTACTCTGAACTACAGTTTATTCATCTTCAGGCTGTTCATGAGATTTACTGACACAAAGTCAAACTGTGTTACAAACATACATGAATTTCTGATCTCAGAGTCAGTGAGTGTTTTTGTGTTGGAGCTTCAGGTTCAGCTGTTTGTAAGAACTTGTTCTGTGAGAGATGAACAACACAGACCTGAGATCAGCTGCTACACACACTGAATGAAGTGACAACACAAACGCTGTGTGATGATCTGAGTGTAGATGAAGGTCTGTGGATTATAGACGATCAATAATCTGCCTGCTTGTGTTCAGGATCATCGATCAGTTACAAATGAACGAGCTTTGACTCAGTTTGGATGCAGAAATGTTGTCCAAGTCAAACTGAGCTCTTTCATGTTTCTATGAACTTTGTGTGTGTTGAATGCAGCAGACTGGAAGAAAAACAAAGTGTGTATAACAAACCTCTCTTTAACTGATGCTGCTTATTTTTACACTCAGTAGGTTTCATCATCTTTTCATTAAATACAGCTGAGAGTGTTTTACAGCTCACAGTGTTATGATTGTTATCAAACTGCAGATTTATGGAGCTGCACACTCAGAGATTTCTGGTCATAGACTTCAGAAGGAAGTCAACCCCTACAACACTGGTGAACATCGAAGTTATGTAACGCAAAAATTTACCCATTGTGGGATCAATAACGTCTTATCTTATCTTAACTGATGCTACTTTTTTTAAGTCAGTAGGTTTCATCATCTTTTCATTAAATACAGCTGAGAGTGTTTTACAGCTCACAGTGTTATGATTGTTATCAAACTACAGCTTTATGGATGTCAGCAGCCATGCGCAAGCAGCAGCACAGAGCAGGTAGTGGGCAGGAGGAGGAAGAGAAGAGTAACAGCCACACCTACTAGGTCAGCGCGACAATGGAGCTGCACACTCAGAGATTTCTGTCTGATCCTGATACTCTGAAACTTTTATTGAACTTTTGTTAAAGAACAAACATAAATAATGTTCAGCTTCATATTTACATGTGTTCAGCATACGTTACCATGGTGATTTAACCAGGTTGGTGAGAGAGACGACTCTGACTGTTTGTCCGACACAGCTCACTAACACATTACTCTGGCTTCATATTTAAATTCTTCTGTTATGAACCACTTCACAGTCAAACCTACCAAACATCAACATGTTAACAAACTATGAACTGGAAATGCTGAGTGTGGCATCAGGTTAGACTGAAGCTGAGTGTATGAGGAGCAGCCGACACATGTGCAGATGCTGCAGCAGGAGTGTGAGAGAGATTAAAGAGAAAGAGACAACAGAACATGTTCAACTATGAAAACTAAACTTTAAAACATTTAAATAGCTGCTGGATGTTCAGAAGTTCATTAAATCCAACATGACTAAAAACTCAAATGTCAAAGGAAATAAACAAAATATTTAAAGTCAATCATTCTGATCATAATTGTACTTTGACCTTTAACCTCTCTGCTCTGTGTTGTTTCCTCTTTCAGACCAGAAAAACATCACAGCTGAGTCTGGACAGTGTCACTCTGACATGTCGAGCTCGCAAACAACAAAACTCATAGTTATAGTTGAGCAGAGAGACCTGAAAGAGGTGAAATGTGCTTTTGTACCAAACGTCACGTTTGTTCCAGAACCAGCATCCATCTTTTAAGAACCGGGTGGATCTGCAGGACAGACAGATGAAGGATGGAGACGTGTCTTTGATTCTGAAGGATGTGACATGTATAGACACTGGAACATACGAGTGTGTTGGTGTCGGATCACAGCGCAGGAGGAGAGACCAGACTGAACCGATCAAGACACACCTTGTGTGTATGTCCTCCAGGTGAGTGAGTAGAGTTGGAGTGTGTGTGTGATCAGGGGCCCGTTCTTCGTACCTCGCTAAGTAAGTTAGCTGGATTTGATTGTTGACGATTTCGCGTGATCTTGGATCGTTCGGTTCCCCGAAGCTCATCCGGGACTTGCTGTCATAGCAACAGAGCCGTAAGCGTAAACCTGCTCGGGAGCAGGTTTACTTTATGTAAACAGGATTAGATCGCGGCCACGCAGGTATGTCCGCTTCATTTATACGAAAGCAACAGCGATATTCCACCACTGTTTCACCATATCGTGGCTCAAGAGTTGGGAGTTCGCCTTGTAGTCAGAAGGTTGCCGGTTCGAGCCCCGGCTTGGACAGGCTCGGTCGTTGTGTCCTTGGCCAAGACACTTTACCCTACTTGCCTACTGGTGATGGCCAGAGGGGCCGATGGCGTGATATGGCAGCCTGGCTTCTGTCAGTCTGCCCCAGGGCAGCTGTGGCTACAACTGTAGCTGCCTCCACCAGTGTGTGAATGTGAGAGTGACTGAATAGTGGCATTGTCATGCGCTTTGGGTGCCTTGAAAAGCGCTATATCAATCCACTCCATTATTATTGTTATTATTAAATTACTTACGAGTTTAATTTGTCAGCAACTTTCTGCCAGCCCTCTCTCCTTGCTTTTGCAGCCTTTGCAGTGTTCCCTTGCGTTTTAATTAAACTCTGAAACTCCTGAAATCCCTCACTCAAGAGTTCTTGCTCTGCTGCCGGAAAATACCGAGCACGCCCCTTCGACATTTTCGCCGACCAATCAGAGGGTTGCCGATCAATGTTTCTACTATCGATGCGTAGCCCCTTTTACGACACCCAGTGATCTCACATTACTTCATCCAGCTGTACTAATCGTCAACAGCAGGTGTGTTCGGAGAACCGGATTAGCGAGCTCACGGTTAGCGCGATGATTTGGTCTTGGATGTAGTAAGCGACGTACGAAGAACGGGCCCCAGAGGTGAAGCTGCTTCCTGGTTGTTGATGTTTGTTTGTTGTATGGATGAGCTGATTTTCTCCATCCATCCATCTTCATCCGCTTTATCCGAGGCCGGGTCGCGGGGGCAGCAGCCTAAGCAAAGAGGCCCAGACCTCCCTCTCCCCAGCCACCTCCTCCAGCTTGTCCGGGGGACAGCTGATTTTCTAACACTGGAAAATAACTCAAAATGTTAGAAATATTCCAGTGTTAGAAAATCAGCACTGCTCAGTGTTAGTCTTTGTTAATCTTCAAAACTGACTAGGTTACTTTTACATATAACACTGTCAAAAGTGTTAATTTAACACTCAACAGTGTTGTATTTAACACTCAGAGGTGTGGACCCATATAGACACTCTCTATTGTTAATTTAACACTGGAGATTTTGCTGTGTACAAACAATTATAGACTTCTAAGCATAAATGACAATCCAACACTATAAACCTTACAGAAATGCCTTTTGATTAAACTGTTACCAAGGAATTTGAATTTGAATTTGCACTTTGCGTTTTTACACTACTGCTACTATGTTTTTACCCTACACGCAGTGAACACCGGCCACTAATGTTATTGTCACTTTTTATGGAAAAACTCAAAGTAAGGTCAGTACTTCCACGCTTTAAACGCTGCACGCTCATACTCTCTCTGCACTCGATATATGATCCATTGTTGATCTGCACACAGCTGTTGCCACAAACGTCGCACTCGCTTACGTCACTGTCATGAGACATTCTCGCAAAAAAAATCACGGTTTTAGTAACGCAGTAACGCAGCGTTCCTACGGGAAAGTAACGGTAATCTAATTACCGTTTTTGCAATAGTAATCCCTTACTTTACTCATTACTTGAAAAAAGTAAATGGATTACAGTAACACGTTACTTGTAACGCGTTGCTGCCCATCTCTGGTCATGACTGTTATTAAATATGTTTCTGCCATAAATGGTAAATGGCCTGTATTTGTATAGCGCTTTTTACTAGTCCCCCCAAAGCACTTTACACACCCAGT